CCGCCGTAGATCGCTTCCCTTTTTGAAAAAGAAAGGAGGGACCCATTGTTTAAAAAAATAAATGTATTAGTTGAGATTAACGTTGTAATTTTTTTGCGTATAGGTCCAACCCATTTCGTGGCTTTCCGTGTCACCCTTCTAGTATGTCACCGTACGTGCATTTCAGGTTTGGCATCAATGTATCTCGACACTTCCTGGTATTCCGGCACTCGCCACTCTGCGATTCGAACCATTGACCTTTTCATTGTGAACTGAACACCATACGCACTCGGCTATTGCCTAGACACAGGATATACAATTTAGAACTTGCTCTGCTCAATGTACTGCAGGTTAATTACAAAAATAAACAACGGTTTAAGGCGCATCAGTGCCCTCAACCACATCGCCACATTTCTTTTTTTTTTCACCACTACTGGCACTGGGATTTGAACCAGCGACCTTTCGGTTTAGAGCTGGTCACCTTACCGACTCTGCTATACTGCTACGACTTGATATGACGGTATGAAAGCTGCTCTGTACAATATGCAGCCCTCTCTTCAATGTTAAGTGGTGAATTTTTGTGTCCGAGTTTGTTTTGTTTTTTTTGGTGGGGGGAGGGTTCTGTCACGCCGTTTTGAATAATTCAATTTCGGCATCATTTAGAGAATAAATCGCAAGCCTTTGGAAATTTTCAATTTTTTGAGGTTGCATCGATGATTCATTTTTAGAGTCAATTTGAGACAAAATGCTGCTTTATATAGCTTCGAAAAGCTTTTATTTTTCTATTTTTTGACGCTCTGTCGCGTTTCGAATAATTCAATTCCGGCATCACTCAGAGAAAAAATTGCAAGACTATGGAAATTTGGAAATTGGAAATTTTCAGCTTTCAATGAATGCAAAATGAATGCAAAACTTTATTACATATATTCTTTCCGGTGTAGGTGGAGCCCTCAGTCCAGGGCCCCTGTGGTCTTTGCCATCTTGCAAGCTTTATCGATCAGCTTGAGTTGTTCTTCAGGCTTACAGCAGAACAGTGCAGCCTCTCACTGGTTGCGTCGAATGCTGATGATTCATTTGTAGGGCCATTTTGAGACAGAATGGCGGCTCTATAGCCTTCGGAAAGCTTCTATTCTTCTATTTTTCGACGTTCTGCCGCATTTTGAATAATTAATTATCAGCATCCTTTTGAGAAAAATGGATGCCTTTGAAAATTTCCAATTTTCTGAGGTTGCGTCGAATGCTGATAATGCATTTTTAGGGCCATTTTGAGAGAAAATGTCGCTTCACAGGCTTCGGAAAGCTTTTAATTTTCTAATTTTAGACGTTCTGTCGCGTTTTGAAAAATTCAATTTCGTCATCATTCAGAGAAAAAAAAATGCAAGGCTTTGTAAATTTTCAACTTTTCAAGGTTACTTCGAATACTGATATTTCAATTGTAGGGTCACTTTGAGCGAGAATGGACGACTTTTTAGTCTTTGGAGAGCTTCCGTTCTCCAATTTTTCGACGTTCTGTCGCGTTTTGAATAATTGAACTTCGGCATCATTTTGAAAAAAAAAAATAACAAGGCTACATATACCCCTTAGGAAATTTTCAATTTTTCGAGGTTGCATCAAATGCTGATATTTCATTTTTAGGGTCATTTTGAGACAAAATGGCAACTTCATAGCCTTTGAATATTTCGAGTTTTGAATAATTAATGTCAGCATAAATTTGCAGAAAAAATTGCAAGCTTATAGCCTTTGCCATTTTTCGAGTTTTCAATTTTACGTTTAACACTGATAATTTATTTTTACTGGGATTTTAAAACACAATGGCGAACTGGTAGCCTTCGGAAAGCTTCTTTTTTTCAATTTTGGAAGTTAGGTCACGTTTTGAATAATTCAATGTGGGCACAATTTTAAGAAAAATTGTAAGCCTTTGCAATTTTTCAAGGTTGCGTCGAATGCTGATAATTATTTTTGGGCCATATTGAGAGAAATTGTGCAGCCTTCATAAAGCTTCCATTTTTCTATTCTTCACGTTGCGTCGCAATTGGAGCACGAATGGAAAGCCTGTAGCCAAAATTGAAAATTACAAATTTTTGAAAGCAATAGAATTATCGGAAAAGCCCTCTGAGTCGATATAGTAAAAGCAAAAGCACACCTTCTGAAATTCCAACCTATTAGATTTCGAAATGCTATAGTTGTTTTCTTTCAGATCGGAAACTTTTTTCAAGAATCTGTGTGATTGAAATGTTAAATTAGCTTCCGAAAGTGAAAATTACGAGTTATCGAAAATTTATAGACTTACCTTTCTGATAAGAAAAGCCACAGGAATATATATTACTAAAATACTTCCACTCTTGCCGAAAGCGAGAATAACAAGATTTCCAAAAACTCCTTTCTTCGAAAAAAAAGCCGTAAAAGTCGATTTCATTTAAATGCGATAATACTATCGAAAATTGAAAATTGCGAGATAATCATTCATATTATACCTAATCACAAACTGCTGACCACATCACCTTGTTTCTTCAACACTACAGGCACCGAGATACGAACTGGCGACCGTTCGGTTTGGAGCCGACCACCTTATACCGACTCGGCTACTGATACGGCTTGATGAGATGGTTTAAGACTTTGTCTGTACATTATGCAGCCCATTGTTCAATATTAAATGCTGCGTGTGTGTGTCCGAGCCTTAGCGCATGCAGTATTTTTTGGCCTCCTTGAAAAAAAAATTGTATAGCTGTCGGAAATCATCAGTTTCGAAATTCCAAAGGACTCATGAAACTGAAGATTTAAAATTTTGATACAAAAATTATTTGTCTTTAATTTGGTATCGAAATCATAAATTCCCTTTGGATCCTTTGCCTTCTGAAGATTTGAAATATTCTCTCGCAGTTTAATGCCAATTTTTGTGTCGATTTGCACACTGTTCCTTATCACGTAGGCGTACAATACGCAATGTAAAACACCGCAACGCGAATACGTAGGAACTAGCTCTGGGAGGTAGTGTCATCCATTTTGGCCTTTGAAGGTCAGTTTCGGCGGGACCCACAGTTAAAACTCAAGAAAAGGTTAGGCGGAGCCCTACAATAGCGTCCCCGATCGTATACATCGTTCAGTAGTATGCGTAAGTATACTTTGGGAGTTCGCTTTTTTCGATTAGGCCACAGGAAAACCTACAAAGTGATATGGTTAACTCACATTCACTAATCATGGTGCAGGTACTGTTATTAATCCATAATTATCACAAATAAAGACAAGAGTTACTTCCTTGATATCCTTGGCCGGATTCTTGATGACGTAGAGAAAAATTGTTTGCTACCATTTTGTCTAACGTCATCTCATGTAATATTTATGTGTATCTTCTGGACGTTTTTCTCGTTCCACAAGTTACTTTCCCAATGGAGCTCTAACCATGTACGAAATGGCAAGCTTCCAAACATTTTACGGTCAAATTTTTTTAAGGTGTGGTGACTTTTTGATGAGTAACAAGTTGCGACCTATTTGGGCCTAAATGAGTACCTGTGGCGCCTGTGAAGCTTGAAATTTGGATTTTTCAACGTGGCGTCGCATTTTGAATAACCCACTTTTTCAGCCAAAATGGCAAGCCTATAGTGTTGGAAAGCTTTAGTTTATCCATTTTTCAAGGTTACGCCGCATTTTGAATATCTCCTCTTTCCAGCCAAAACGGCCTTAGCAAAGCTTTACTTTTCCGGTTTTTAAAGGTTAAGCCGCATTTCGAATCATTCACTTTTTCAGCAAAAATGGCCAGCCTACAGCTTTAAAATTGGGAAAGCGCCCATTTTTTCGATTTTTCAATGTTGCTTCGCATTATGCATGATTCACTTTTTCATTCAACACAACATGGAAGCCTATAATAAGAAAGATTCAGTTTTTTTTTTCATTTTTCAGGGTAGAACCGCATTTTCAATAACTCACTTTTCCGTCAGCGTGGCAAGCCTACTATATAGAGCCTTAAGAAAGATTCAGTTTTCAGATTATTCAAGGTTTCTCAGCATTTTCAAAAATTCACTTTTTCGGCCAACATGGCAGGCCAAAGAAGGAGCCAAAAAGGAGCTCAAAAGGCGATTTTTCTGCTTCCACCGGCCTAAAAGAACGTAGCCAAATTGGTTCAAACAAGCCAAACCTAGCAACTGAGGGCACCCTGAAGCAACGTTTCTGTGTGGCAGTAGTACAGGCAAGGAGGTTATACTAAATCTTATAACCTCCTTGAGTACAGGAAAGCAATTGCAACCGTTTCGGCGGTAAAGTTCGCGATAGGGATGGCCTTAGCCCAGCGGGTAGATCTGTCCACGCAGGCCAGCAGAGACGCTTTCATTGGCGAGGTAGCTGGCCGACGATGTCCAAGTGGTAACATCAAAGCGAAGGGAGTGTTCCCAGTGTTGTCGAAGTGTGGCGTACGTTGTATCCTGGAGTGCTGGCAAAGAAACACTTTCACGTGGCCGGCGTCAGACGTTCCGATTAATGGATGGCCAGAAAAACTTTGCAGTCACCAATCTTTGGGTGGCTCTCATGCCTGAGCAATTGACTGACCTTTTAATAAAGTTTTCTCTCTCTCTCTCTTGGGTGGCTCTGATCCCTTGATGTGAAATCGGGAGTTCGAACCGACACATAGTAGACAAGCCCAAGCATGTTCAAATAGGACTGCGTCTCCACTTGAAGCATGAAGGGTGCCGTCATTACTTGGGCAAATATGCCGCGCAGATAGTACACTGCAGCGCAAAGAAGGGAACTTGCAAAACATCCGGCGAGACATTAGAGCAGGGGTATCTTCCTATCAAAAATTTACGCTTGAATTTGAGCACATGTGGTTTCAAAGTATACATGATGCACTTATTCACAGTTTTGCTAAATGACAGGCACATTTCATTGCTTCAATATAAATACTGCGGTGGTTGTCCCCAGAAGTGTGGCTACTTTAGGCGACGTTTTGCTCTTGCGACGTGGCAACATTGCACAAGTGCATGAACCACGTGAATGCACCTGCAACGCAAAGATACGCATGCTGGATAAACAGTCAAAACTGCCGCTGTCCGTTTTGCTGATAAGCACCGCGTCTTCTCCTTCTTTGGTATCAGAGGAAGACTCAAGATTTTTATCAGTCCTCCCGCTGTCCCTACTGCATTACACATTGCAGCTAACGCGGTAGATGGGAGACGAACCATTCTGACGGACCCTCGTCCGCACGAGGATTGAGATTCCGCACTAGCGTTACGACAGCTTCAAAAATGCGGCAGGCATGGAACCTCTACACGCGTGTGATGCGCGATCACCCAGTGAAGACCCAACTTATCACCACGGCTACCGTCATGCTGTCGGGCGACCTGATCGCCCAGAAAGTGCTCGAACGACGGTCGGATATCGATGTGCCACGAGCGGCGAGGTATGAACTACGTTCTAGTGGAATAGTTGGGAGTTTTACGACGCAAAAACCGCGATGTGACGCCGCAGTGGAGGGCTCCAGAAATTTTGACCTACTGGGGTTCTTCAACCTGCACCTAAGTACCATTGACTCCACCACAATGTGGCCTCCGCGGCCGGGATTCGAGTCCACGACGCCACCACAGCAGTCGAGTATGCTCTGGTGGCGTCGTTCCCCGAGTTTACGTGATGCGAGTGCCATAGGCACTCTCAATTCGAATCGAGCTTCGATGACGATCGAATTTCTCAATCGTGATTGATTCTTCCATCTTCGCCCTGCACAGTTGCAACAATCGCGATTTCTTTTAAGTTCTTTAATATTCTATACTCAAATGACAGCTTAGAAAGGTGTACATGGTGCATATTAACTTACACCTCTATCACACGAGAAATGTTAATGTTACTTGTACCCAATAGCGTTCACATTTAATGTAGTCAGCTAGCCGCCAAACAAGGTAACTTATTGCCATGTCTCGCGTGCGCCCTACAAAATTGGCTGTCCTTGCAAAAAATGGTTGGTGAAGGTTCGCGTAAACGTCACGAACAGGGCATACAAGTTCAAGACCCAACTGATTCTGTGTAGCAAGTATGGACGTTACATTGGCTAACGCTTGAACGTTCCACCCTTCGTTGCAAAGTCTCGTGACATACGTAAAATTTTTTTACAGCACCAATGAATCCTGCAGACCATTAACCGAGGAAAGTATAGGGGACGTTGTTTGTTGTATTTGATGGTACAGTGATTGCAACCTAAATTGAAAGTAATTGAAGCGAACAGAAAAAGCACCCTTTCTATTGGTGGGATCTGAACCTGCAACCATTGCTGTTGGTTTCATTCGGTTGCACATAAAGTATAGGAGCCTCTCGAGTGATTCCCTTTTTTTGCAGGTTTTTTGGCAATGTTGCTTCAGACAAGAAGTAATGATACTGTTTGTTTAGTTAATCATATATTTCTTTCATTTCATTGACAATTTCTGAACGTTTACAAAACCGTGCAGGTTCTTCGTCATGGGCGTGGCATTCGTTGGTCCCGCTCTCCGTGTCTGGTACCTTGCACTCGAACGCATCGTCGGCAGCGGGGGCGGGCGAGCGATGGTCATCAAAAAGGTGTTCCTCGACCAAGCCGTGTTCACTCCGGTGTTCCTACCGAGCTTTCTGGTGACTCTCGGTGCGCTCCAGCAACGCTCATGGGACAGCATTAAGGACACCTTGCGAGCCGACTACCTGCCCATCCTGAAGGCAAATTACATGCTCTGGCCCGCGGCACAGCTTATCAACTTTAGCTTGGTTCCTCTTAATTACCGAGTGCCATTTGCAAGCTGTGTGGCACTCGTCTGGAACACTTACTTGGCTTGGAAGGCCAACAGGATGCAGCTGGCGTAACCGCAGCATCACCCTTGAAGTACACCGACTTGGTGGCTGACGGTCCAAGAATTATCTTGAGATTTCTACAAGTTCTTACCATCTAGATCAAAGCCAGTTCTCCTACATAAGCCGAGTTGACATGGTGTCACTGAAAATCATATATGATTTTTAAACACAGCCATTTATATTGCACTTTGCTGCATGTGCTTCGCTAAAGCTGCATTCACACGACAGGTGAAATCGTCGTACAAGCCTGCAGATTGCACACTATGTCGCCATACATCTGCCGTTCCCGCTTCGGTCCGTGCAGGAGCGATTCGTGAAACAACGGAGGTCCAAATCACAGTTGAGATCCTCTGGGTAGCAATGCCGAAATCCTCTCTTGCAGTGTGAGTTCCAGTCCTGCAGTGTGAGTGCTGGCTTCGAAAGGATCAGAATTCGTCACATGCCATCCGACTGATTCGTGCGTGATCACATCCGTCATGTGAATACAGCCCTATGGGCAAATGGAAGTAGCTCTCTTGAGGCACACTTGCGACCACCACAACATTCGTGCCAAGAATTTTGTGCTGAGCAACAGACTCTGTATTAGCTGTTTGTTTCAAATTGTGAGCGTGACGTTACAATTTTTCTAACGAACAGCTATAAGTATTTTGTTTCTTATTTAGTAGACAAAGACTGCCGAAACTACCCATGTCATGTAGACTTCAGAGTATTTAGCCATGCATTTTTGTGAGGTTGATATCAATTTGCATACCCTCTACACACCATGTTGTATATTGCAACAAGAACATGTCGGAGTGAGTTTGAGCCAAATCGTGCATTACATGCACACTGTCGCGATGCAATGTGTTACGTTCTCGTATTGAATGCAAGCATTGCATTGTGGTTGCTTGTCGCAAAAGTGAGTCAGCCTGCGGAGTCGGTTGCTGATGTGTCGACGTGGAGTGCCCTCCATGTAGTTATGTCTAAGTATATCATAACTTGTGGCAAAAGTGCAATTACAAACATTACGTTAAAAGTGCTGTGGTTCGGGAGAGTTGGTTTTCCATGAACTTAGCATGTATTAGCATGGCACATATGAAAAGAAAGAAAAAAGATGACACACACGTCAAGAAAGGTAGGCGCTACCGTTTAGTGCCTGCCTTTCTTGACGTGTGTGTCATATTTTTTCTTTCTTTTCATATGTGCTGCGCTGATACAAACTAAATTGCATCAAACTGTGTAACATGCATCTATGTTCGATATGGCATGCACTACAGTTGATTCTGGATATATCGAACTCGAAGGGAATTGCAAAATAGTTCCATATATAGATAATTCCAAATACAAAACATGCATATTTAAGGCCTAAATTATGGCATTTCAGGCCTGGGAAATCGTTACACAAGTGCTCACATAACAGTTCACTCACAGTATAATGAAGAACGTGGAGTAAACTGCAAGTTACCGCAATTCATTTAGTATAAAAACGGTTCTTAAACTTGTCTTGCTTCTTGCGCGCCGTGAAGTTACAGCCCTTCTCATTATCATTGAAGCTTTCCAAATAAGCGAATTTAGCTCCTTCGGCCTCAACAGCGTTGAATGAGGCAAAATGCTTTGTAGCATGGCAAAAGGTTGGTTAGTAGCGGCAGTGATGACGTTGGCATATTCACAACCGCACAGGCACACTTCCGTGGCACCAGACATGGCAGCGATGATCTTTCCATCGATGCAGTCAGAAACGGCCACATCGTCATCTGCACCGGTAAGTCGCTCACTGTCCAAGATGGAGGCCAGAAACACTGATAAGTCACAAAATGCACCGAGGCACCATACGCCAACGGTCATGACGCACCCGAAGTCGTCACCTGGCCCGCAAGGAAAGTTTTTGACTGTGCTTTACTTGACGTCGCTTCAAGCACCAGTCATAATTTTTATCGCTATATGAGGGTAAATGTTCAGTTCAACTCCCGAATGAGTATTTATCAGGAACAAGGCGAGAAGTTCACAAGCCCAAAAAGGGCAAAAGACAATGTCACGTTTCCACAGTCGACATGTTGATATCAATGTCACTCCACTGCTTTCAGCTACTTTGATACAAAAAGCTAGAAAAAGCGCAGCCTCCAAGCTGTGCGTTTTAAAACCGAGAACACCAAAAATACCCCACGAGGTTGCACATCTCAAAGGCCATGCTTTTTCAGGCTCGTGTGCCACTGTACGCCAACAAGCAAGGAATGGAATTTGAACATTGCAATGAGATTGCCGAGTCACTTCGCATTCTCATTTGGTGTCATCGACAATCGGTTTTTGTGAAAAACACTATGCCCCTTTTAAGACCTGCAGATCGAACATCAAACATACTGGTCCACACAAGAAAGCAGATCAGCGCGATGAAATAATACCGCCTTTTCGTCACCTGTGCACTCAAAAGGATTAAAGCTTGTTGGAACTTGGCCGAAAATTGATCAATATTTGCTAGAAAAAATGCAATTTCTGGCCCTTGGCACGGTGTAGCATTCAATATAGCGGATGTCCCACTGTGCGAGAGCAGGGTATACGGGTGCACCAGTCCCATGCATTTGCATGGAAAATTCAAGCAGATTTCTAAACTGTTATATATAGCCAATAATTCGATATATCCGAGTTTGATATATCCAGGAGTGACTGTATTCGGTTTCAAGCTCAGAAAGTCAGAGTACCTTTGCAGCATTGCTTGCTATGTATGTACGAAATGGAGTACGCGTTTTATTACTCTCGTACTGTTTCGGCTACCCCGTGGCACACATCATTGCTGTAGTGTGCAATAAGGAATTTTGGTGTTCCATCATGCCCAGCCATGATTACGATGCTCTAAGTGTCTTGCAGCAAAATAGATTGTGCCTATGAAATACCTTTCACTTGAGAAACGTAGTGTTTGCCACTGGATCCTGAAGACACCTCAACTGTAGTGTGCCAAAACTGTTGCATATCAAATCATATTGCACCGTACACTGTGTTTGCAGCAGTGCATCACAATCTTGTGGACCATTCAGAGCTGCTCTGCTGCGTGTTAAGCTTAAAATAATATAGAATAGCTAAATAAATGATTCTACTTTATTTTTAGACATGTCACGTTGTATTGAAGTCTCTACATTCATGAATTAGGCACCAGCACGTTTTCGTTGAAGGACAATATGTATTCCACGACGAGGTTCAGGTGTTTGGAAACAAACAAGACAATCGTGTCCTGATCAAACTAGTACCTATACGCATCAAACTGTGTAACATGCATCTATGTTCGATATGGCATGCACTACGGTTGATTCTGGATATATCGAACTCGAAGGGAATTGCAAAATAGTTCCATGTATAGATAATTCCAAATACAAAATATGCATATTTAAGGCCTAAATTATGGCATTTCAGGCCTGGGAAATCGTTACACAAGTGCTCACATAACAGTTCACTCACAGTATAATGAAGAACGTGGAGTGAACTGCAAGTTACCGCAATTTGTTTAGCATAAAAACGGTTCTTAAATTTGTCTTGCTTCTTGTGCTTTCTATTGCCACGTCCTTATGGAAGAAGTGTCCTTATGGTCACTCGCCACCCTTCTCTGCCACAAGAATTGGACGAAGTAGCCCGTCGTCGCATCTCGGCCCACTTCGACAACGTGACACGACGTCCGTGATACATCATCAGCGTGCAACCAACAACCGAGCAGGGCTTCCCCCGCATGAGCATGTCTCATAGTGGCGTGGGCAAGAAATGCACTTTTCTCCTTGCGGTAAAGTAGCGAAATGCCTCCTCACCTCGAGGGCTTTCATTCCGGCAGTGCTGCTTCTCCCGGAGTCTTGGGCTCCACAGAAGCACAGAAAAATTAAAATATGGACCGGGCACCTGAAAGTGCTTCGCCCAGGACCAAGCCTTCATTTTGTACTGCAAAAAACCAATCGACGAGCTAAGTCACGCGTAACGTTGCCTATGGGCGAGCTTTCGCCAGATTGTCCATAGGGGGGGTGGATTGGTCAGGCGAGGGGAAAAGGCGTGGGATTGTTTTCTGAAATGGAGGGTCTGTGCCACGTGCAACACTGTAATATTCGGCAAATGTGATCGCTGCGGTCTTCTGTACGAATTGACGAGCTTGTTTGGGAGGCGTAAAAAAAAAGTTGAAGCCTGCTTGCTGACCCTTTAGGCAAAACATGAATCTGCATTACAAATGCTACTTAATACTCCCGTCTGCCATTATTTACATCACTCACATCCAGTCCAATATAACTTACATCAAGTTTCGTTTCTATGTGTTCATCACAATATCAATGATTCAAGCTTAGGATGCTCCAACATACCATTATGGGATTTCACTTTACCTACGTAAGTTTTTATCAGCGTAAGTGCTAAATGCACCCAAAGTCTTAAAAGAAATCTTTGAAAGCACCACTCTGATACCTTGTTAAGCTTTCCGCCTAGCCGTTGTTGGCTGTGCACCCTTGCAGCGATGTAGAAACATAAGGACACTGTTTCCCTGATGTTTCATCACACAAAAAACACAGCATACCCACGAGGTGAATGATGACAAGAGGGGTGAAGCGGACGGACGGATGGACACACGGACGGACGAACTGATTGACACATGCTTCGCCCCACTCATCATCATTCACTCCGTGGATATGCTGTGACACCTTTTTCTATTGAAATGCAATGCAACTGGCTACTATAACGACACGGGACATACGACACACGGGGTAGGGAGCTTTAAAAAATTATCTCTCACATGCACAATGGCTTAGCTGCATTAGATAACGAATGTCACGACGAGGCATGCACAGCACAGGTGTGGAGCAAGCTTGAAAGCATGTGTGAGGTGTCCCAACAAACAGGATGAAGCAGAGTAACACAAGAATTAGAGTTGGAAACGCAAACCGGCAACGTCTAGCTTCCTGGTATTTTCTCCGCTATGTCTCATTGGTGTGCCATTTTACATGCGGACACACACACATCACAATGATTAGTCACCAACTCGCTTGCCAAACTTGGCAGAAAGCTCAATAGTGTGAAAGTTGTGCGCACAACAGTACACAGTGATGCAGTCATAGTGTCCTGTGTTGTGCTTATTGATAGGCTAAGTTGCAATACGAGCACTGTGTCGTGGGATCATTAGACAAAGGCAACACAAAGTGCTAGGCTAACTAAAATTTCAGTTGAGCAGTATGCTTCGCCTTCATTTGAGGTTCCTGCTGATTACCACTGGTACAGAGCAAAACGCAGAAAAAGTGCCTTCCCCCCCTCCCCCTGTGACTACCTCTGTTAAGCATAGCTTGTGTAAAAGGAACCACAAGGATGAGTACCCTAAATGAGTACCTAATGTTTATAAAACGCTCTAAAAACCATTTCATTAGAAACATAGATGGGCATTTCTTAATTTTTCGCAGATCTCTCGCCGCCATATCGTATTTCGGTCCGGCATTAAGCAAGCACCCCCTACCAAATCCGGTCGGATTATCCTTCACCGTAGGGGGGGGGGGGGGGGCACTTGGTCAGAATTTCGCAGAAGCGATAGTCATTATTTTAGTGCTTAATGCAGAACATAGAGCAACAAGCTAAACCCAGTGTAAGTGTGCCTGTACAGGATAGGTGAGCTTTAAATTAGACATACAGTCACAGGAAGTCAATTGTACGAGCACAAGCACCAAAGGCGGATCGCATTAGTGTTGGATGCACCTTAGTGATAAGTGGTTGGATCATCACTGAAGTGGATCCTTAATCAGTGGACATGCATTTCTGTGCAACACAAGGTTCGCACACTGGGAAGGGGTCGTATAGACGGTTTTCCGCAGCGGCAATCGGATGCTGCTATGTTTGAACACGTGATCGAATGGCCTTCTCCTTTGCACTTCCCATTCAGCGTCGCCTAAGGCCGGCTGATTCGCTGCCGCTACTCCGGGAAGGCCTGCAAAGCGCGCGCAGTGGTTACGTCTTCATGTCTCAGCCACGCTTTGTGCACCCGACCACAGCACAAACTTCTCTTTTACGTCTCATCATTGTTCATCATACTCTCACATCGTCGCAAGGCAGCGCACAGGGCTCAGCAAAGTGCTAACGAAACATATTTTCTTGCAAAGCTCGCCCCTGTCGGCGCTGCACCCTTCTCGCCATAGGCTGCCAAGAAAAAGCCATGGTGCGGCGGTGCGGCGGCACCATCTAGTTTTAATTAGACAATCCAGTTACTGAAAATCGTCTATAGTATAGGCACCTGACTGAGGACCATGTTAGTGCAGGAAGTTAGCAAATTAATCACATGACAACAAAACAGGAAGCATGCGCAAGCCTCTTTCAACGATTCCCAATTTCCCTATCTCGTGGAAGTTGACAAGACTTTATTCCAGCCAAGTTCTCGATTTCATTGCCCGAGCTAAACGGCTGCTGTTCTTGGCTGCGCTTCCTGTGCCTTTGTATTGATTTAAATGCTTTAAACAACCACTGGTTGTCTGTCCTATGCATTATTTGGCTCAATCAGGTACATTTTTTTTTGCCTATTGTCAATCAGAATATTAGCCATTTTGTTTTTCAATCTGTTCTGCTGTCTTCCTTCTGATCTCTTCAAGTTACACCTATTATTTTCCATTTCATGCACACTATGTGATCTTTAACGTTTTCACTGGAGTTCATTTGATGTCGTCCAAGTCTCAGCCCTATACGTTAGTACTGGATAAAATCAAGCAAAATTCGAATGTGACCACCACTTTTGGTAATTTTGAATGAAAACAAATGCTCCTTGAACTAATTACCTTCTAACTATGAACCTGCTTCATTCACTTGTAATGTTGTTGCTCCTTTAGGACAGATAAAGTAGACTTGTTTTCACAGTATCTCCACATTAAGCTAGGAAAGGAGCTGCTGCATTCAATGTTATATTGTCACATGCTGAGACCGCATCACACATCGTTTCACGAAAACAGATAATATCGTCAGGGTGTCACTGACAAAGTTCCAAACAACATATTTAAGCAGATTGACAAGCATACAACAAAGTTTTTAGTCACAACCTTATACACATAGTTACGACAAAGGAAGGCTCGTAAGTTTATCATTAAGCGAGAATGCAGAAATGAGTCTTTTATTATGGTCCCAAGCACACAACACACACTTTTAATGTCCTATGCATGCACACAGTTAAGTAATCCACACTGACATCCATGATTGGGGAGGTGATGAAACGGAGATGTGTCGAGTTGATTGCGCACAGGTGTATCATGAGTCAAACTTTTCCAAGCAGTAAGTGGTGCCGTTCTCTTCGTACTGCTTCTTGGTCACAATGAGCTTGTTCATTTCGGGGTCTTGGAAGGCCATGACGCCTCCGTGCCACGCATATGTGATGGGACTGCAATCAACAAAAACTCCTCTGAAATTGTCTAAGCGATACGGCTCATGCTCATATCATCATCTTGAATGAGCTGCATGCATCGAGGGTACAGGGTCCAAGACCAAATATGCATCGGAGGTCAAGGGTTTGATATCCTCCACACTTGGACAGTTTGATACTCGTCAAAGGGTTTCGGGGGCCAAATTCCCTATACTTCAGAGATTAAGTTTTTTTAATTGCCATGCCAATTATATGACCACTCTCAGCTGGATTTCGCTGTTGGCGTTGCCGTCACTCGCTGTATATGTATACGTATCTATATACATGATAAGGTGAGAAATAAATAATTTAGAAAGACTCCAGCGCATATAATCGAAAGTGGACCTCTGAATTGTGAGTGCGAGGCGTTCGCCACTGAGCCACGAAGGAACACTTCCTTCAACATTCAAACGGCAAGCTATCTATATCTACCACTTAGCGCTGCTGACAGGCATCTCTGAGGGAAACTACCATGCTTTCAGCGTTACCAGCAAGAAGAGGCAATGAGCGCGCGTCGCCACATCGTCACTGCACGGCGGCGTGGACTCTCATGTCCCACGCGTACTTTGCCCCGCAAAGAGGGGACAAGGTGGACCTTACATGTGCGCTTTTCTCACGGTGGGGACAGTCAGTGCGTCTTGGCTGGCCTTGGGCTTTCAACAGAACGATTCTCTTGTAGTTATCGGGCGCACAATGGTCACTGCAATCGTTGTACAGTC